GAAAAAATTACAAGATAATATATAAAAATATATAAAGAAAATGTATATAAAATATATAAAAACACACTGAATTCTCAAATAAAACACAAATTTAAATATAATATAAGAGAAATATAATTCTCAAGCATATAAAAAATAAGTTGTGTAACATTAAATTTTATATGTGCAAAAAACTGAATTCAAAAATATATTTGGGGGGAAAAAATCATCAAATATATAAAAAACGGAATTCTCAAATATACAAAAAATTAAATATTATTATTACTATTATTGCTACTATTACTACTACTATTACTATTATTAGTAGTAGTATATAATTATCAAAATACTGAGTTCCCAAATCTAAAAAGATGAACTGGATAAAAAAATTATAATAAAATAAAATATATAACAAAATATATACAAATATCTGATATATAAAACAATGATATTTAATTCTCAAATAACTTGTTTAAAAAAAGGAGAGCTAATTATTCGTAAGGTGGAGGGAAAAATAAATCTGAGAAGTAGCCTACATACCTTCAGCACAACACTATTTTTATCACTCATATTTCATGTCATCATGTCATCATGGCAAACCCCACTGACATTTTCTTCAGAACATGTACAAATCTAGTTTTCTGTTGCTTTATTTACACACAGGCCGTGAGACTGGGTCAAAATGGCATGAGATGGGACTTTCCATAGTGAAGAAGGATGATCGTCTGTTTGCTCAGTGTTTCTCACAGCTGGTCAGTCAGTGAACTGGACACACAACACACTATATACTGCACTTCAACACACACACACCTTTACTTAGCTATCTTAAATAAATACATACAACACCGCAAATGAAATCAGGTCTCTTAGACTGTGATCTGTCCCGTGACATACGGGTTTGGCTCAACTGCTCAGATACTTCTCAGATGAGGAAACAGTGTGAAAAATTATATCAAATCAAAAACTCTGGAGAGATTTTCTCGGTTGTAGCACTGACAAGTAGATTATAGACTTGATTTGCAATTTTTTTTTTTTTTTTTGTCAGCCAAACCTCTTTGACCTAAAATATTTAGAACCCTCTGTGATTTCAAATCAGTATTTAAAATATTTTAAAACATTCACATTTTTACAGTTCTCTGATGTCAGATAATGGTTATATGACAAGCAGGTAAACTAATAAACATTTCAGCTATTTAATAAGTGTTTTATTATTATTTTATCGTTACATTTTTTATGAGTTAATCAACTATTAGCTTTTCATCTCAAAAAGTCGTTACAGTATTTTGCTGATAAAAAATGACAGTATAAGGACATTTGTTTCAGTATGATGAAATTGTGTTTCACATCCATTTAAATGTCAACAAGTGAATGTTACATTTTATGATTGAATTAATTATTAATTTTTCATCTTATAATGTTAAAATGATTTAAATATTAGATTTTCATCTCAAAATGTAGTTTCAGTATTTTGCAAAAATACTTTTAAATTGATCAATGAATAAATTACATTGCTTCACATCCTTTTGAATGTCAACAAACATAATAAAAAGTGAATGTTACATTTTTATGATTTAATTTGTAGTTTTTCGTCTAAAAATGTTAAAATGATTTATTATTATTAGCTTTATTTATAGATTTATTATTATTTATTATATTAGCTTCAGTATTAGCACAACTGTTTTCAACATTGATAATAATCAGAAATGTTTCTTAAGCAGCAAATCAGCATATTAGAATAATTTCTGAAGATCATGTGACACTGAAGACTGGAGTAAATTCAGCTTTGATCACAGAAATAAATGACATTTTAAGATACATTCACACAGAAAACAGCTACTTTGATCTGCAATAATATTTCACAATATTCCTGTTCCTTTTAATTAAATAAATACAGCCTTAGTGAACAGCAAACCTTTGAACGGTAGTGTATGTATGGTCCAGTTACGACATTGCTGTGTACCACAAAGCCAAACTACAGTTGACATGACACACAAAGCTGACCTAAAACAGCTTATTTTAAAATAAAATATGTTCTCATTGTCCACATTTACTGAGACTGCACTCACACTTGAATAAAAAGCTGGATCTGACATCTGGATAATTACACCAACCCATCATGACTCATTTCCAGTTTCCATGATCTATGTATTAATAATTCATCATTCATTCATTCGAAAACAAACTATTTGCTATAAGCCACTTCATGAGGCCATTACAGAAAATAGAGAGTATAAATAACTGTGCATTAAGAAAACGCATATAATCTGAACTAAAATCACTTCACAATGTGACTAAAGACTATAGCTGTTTACATACTAATCAGCCAAATCAGACTCAGTAGAGCTATATATAGCTGAAGTGTCAGAGAAAACATAGCTGGCGGTCTCTGAAGACCTTAAACTTCAATAGCTGTAATTACACACAATATGCTAATAAGAAAAATGAATTAATTCACATAAACATGAGACTATTCGAAGAGTGTTTCCAGCAGGTCATGATGAGTGAACGTCTTATTCTCTCTGCTGAATTTCTAACTCAATCTCACATTTCCACTGGTGTTTGTGTGTCTGTATTTAGTCTAAACATCCTGTTCAAGGCCTGATATCTGCTGCTCTGGGTTCGTGTTTATCTGCCTCCAAAGACAGGAAACGAGTGGCAGAGGTTTCCTGTCAACTAGCGAGTCGACGTCTTCCTCTATCTAATGTAAAATTATGCAGCGTTTCCTTATCGATGCACATATATAAACACATCAGACGAGGTCACATGGTCAGTTTGATGAAAATGACGACTATTCCTATTTGAAATGCATTCGGGATCATTTGATTTATTTCAACTGCATTTCAACTTGATTGCATTTTATGTCTTTTTGAATGTCAACAAACTGAATACTTTAAGGTAAAGACGCTTTGAATTGCTTGTGTTTATATGGTCGATGTAACATGTGTCTCAGAATGAAAGTATGAGAAACGATCCTGTAATGAAGGTCTGGCTCTCAGTTTTATTTTTTCTCAAATTCCATTTTATTTTTTCCGTTTTCATTTTTCTAGACTCTGTTTTAATGGTTAAATTAAATTTTATTCATCAAAAAGCATGTCTAATTAATTGAAATCATGAAACTTACACAATTTAACAGCAATTTATTTAAAGTTTATTTAAATTTTTAAGGCCCTATGAAATACTTTTTTTTTCTCAAATTCAGTTTTATTTTTACCAAATTCTGTTTTCTATTCGTTTTCTGGATTCCATTTTAATGGTTTTATTAAATAATCATTAAATAATTAATTTAATAATCAAAAGCATCTCTAAATAATTGATTAAAAAATAATTTATTATTTTATTTATTTATTTAGAAATACTGTGTTGTGTGTGCAAGAGAAGAGAAATGCAAGAGTTATTTTTCACCCCAAAAATGAAAAGTAAGAAAAGTTAAAATATTAAAATATTAAATAAAAACTGTATTAAAATATGAAAATCTCAATGTCATTTCTATATTATATAGAGAAACAAATTATATTACATATTATATTAAGAAATTTTATATTAAAACATTACTAGGATAATTACCATTTTTGCATTGTGACATTATTTATGGCACTTAATCACATTTTCACCCAAATTCTCATTATCATAATGTGAAAAAATCTTATTATTATTACTGAAATATTATATTATATTATATTATATTATAAATTTGATATTAAAATATAAAAGAAAATTAAGCCAATTACCAGGATCATTAAGCTGAAACATGTATTGAGAAGTGATCACACTTAATTAGACACTATAATTAACTAATGACCCGATGCAGATGCTTCTATGAATGAATGGTGCTCAATGGTACAATTACAACCTCTTACAGGGAACCTAAAGCCAAAACGGTCTTCTCCGATCTGATCTCTGGCCACTAATGCTTTCATATAGTGAAAACATGTTGTTTTCTGATACATGTGAAGCAGATGTAGCTGGAGCCAGAGGAATATGATCCACAATTTACTGAAATAAACAGAACAATAAACACAAACAAACCCTCACAGCTCTCGTTCCAGCAAACCGCTTCAACGACTCGTGAATAAAGCAAATACTTATCAACACCTACACAACTCCTGCTCAACAGACAGTTATTTCAGTTAATGAAAGAGAGAGAGTGGGGCTCACAGGTGCATGCTGGGTAACACCTGAAGCTTGTGTGTGAAATGATTCACATAACCAGAAATGCAATACAAAAATTTTATTATTGAGATACTTTTTTTTTTTTTTTGCATTGACATTATTTTCATAACAATTACAGTATTTTTTTGTGTTTTTAAAATACTAGTATTTTTGTTTTTGTTTTCAAATTAATTTGCATACATTAAAGACAGAAATTGTACCATGATAGTTTAAATTAAATTATATTGCATATTAGATCAATTAGAAAATGTATGCAATATAAAATATTTACAAAAATGTGAGTGGTGTACTCACTTCTGTGATACTGTATATATATATATATATATATATATATATATATAATATTCATATTTAATATATCTTTTTTATATATTTAAAATAAATTTAAATACATTATTATTATTTAATTTAATTATTATCTATAATTATAATAATATTTTTTTCCCATAATTATTAGAAATAAATTTTTTACGCATTAAAGTAATAAGAAACAGGGGCTTAAAAAAGGTCTTAATTATCATAAAATTTATTTTCCCAATGCAAAAAAAACAGCCTTAGTCTTACATTTTATTAATAATATTATTTTGTGACACTGAGATGTATCCCAGCATGCAGTAGTCTTCTGCACTGTTCATTATTCACAGGCTCTGACAGCTGAGGTGTGTTTCTGTCTTTTGTAGTCGCTAATGGGACAGAAATTGTGTGAGCGAGAAGATTTTAAATTGTGTTTGGTGCCAGCAGCGTTAGCTTTGTTCTTGTCATTGTGAAGGCGATTCAGGTCTGTGTGAGCTCTAACGGCTCATTATATTCTCATAATGAATGTGTGTGTGTGTGTGTGTGTGAGCGCTTACCTGAGCTCTCTCAGGATCTCCCTGAGACTCGGCACAAGGCTCCATGTTTGTCCAGATGCCGCCGGTCAACACTGTTCACAGCTCTGCATGTCTGCGGAGACACAAACACATTTACTTCAAACAACTGTGTCACGTTGCATGCACTCAAAATATGATTCAGGCCTAATTTTAAGATTTATGTATTTGAATTGCATGTAAAATTTCATTCCATTTGAATTACACAGTTTTAACATAAACTAATAAACTTAATGTGATGCATATTTGGCAGTCATACATTAAAAAAAACAGGTACGATTTTTGCCCCGGTATTATTTTAAGTATCACTTAGATACTATTATAGTTTTTATTAAAATTTTGAATAAGTTTTTTTAATCTGAATGAAATTTTTCGTAATTTTTTTTTTGTCAGTTTATTAGTTTTGTTTTTTTTAAACTGTATAATTACTTTGTTAAAATTGTATCATTCAAATGGATAGAACTTTTATATGAAATTAAAAGATATAAATATTACATTTAGGACTAAACATTTTTTTATGATTTTTATGATTTAAGCTTAGCCAAACATCTTGATCATAATTAAAGGAATAATTCACTCAAAAATAACAACTGTTATTAAAAAACTGGACACTTAGAGAGAACGAGACCATCAGACTGACATTTAAAGCAACCAACTGCAGTTTGTTCTGCAAAATTCCTCACACATATCCGCTAGATTTCTATGATGAAAGTCTCTAGACAATAACCGGCCATTTCTTAACAACTCTCATCATTTTTCCAGCACATTTCTTGATGATATCTGTACGCAGATGGCTCTTATTTGAAGCGCAAACATTGATGGCACTCGTCACACAAGTGCTTCAGATAATTTGCTCTTCTTCAACGCATGGCCTGTCAACTGTTCAGACCAAACTTTCACTGGCGGAAACTTCTGACCTATAATTAGCAAAGTAGGTCACTGAGGGGGAAAAAACGAGGGAGAGAAAGTAGAGGTGGTCCAGGAGGCCTTATGGGCTCGATTTACACCCTTTAACTGACCTCTTCTGCTCTTGCCTTTTTATTGTGTGTGTGTGTGTGTGTGTGTGTGTGTGTGT